ATACGCGAACACCGTCTCTGCAATGACTGGCCTTGCACTGCTTTGTGCGGTGCCCACAGGCCTCGGATTTGATTAAGACATCACACGGCGATGTATGCATTGTACGGTCAAGAATGCGCGCTTGTTCCACGAGAAACATACGCAAACTCCGTCTCTGCAATGACCGGACGCGTCTAGTTCTCAATCTACGTGTACTGTCCCCCTCTGACAGAAGCTAGAAGGATGGTAAAGTTTGAAATTGTCAAAAGAGAGGACAGACAACAAAAACGAAATAGTGAAGATGGTTGGGGGAGGGGAGAAGGGGTGGGGGCGGGGGGGGGGGGGGGGGGGGGGGGGGAGAAGAAGCAGCGATAACATACCTGTATGACCAGTCAAGAATAGGGTTAACTCTCATAAATGCCGGCCAGCCAGGGCTGCTGGGGACAAAGAACTCCTGCCCAACCTGTGTTCACAATCAAACAGTATATACACGCACATTCATTAGATGAACTCTTTACCCAGCCTGCATGCGCAATGAAAAGGTATATACACACACATTCATTTGATAATAGTATCATAATTACCACCAAACGATACATTCAACGAACTTTCATCACTATAAGTCGTACATGCAAGCGCACGTCGTGCGGGCGGCACACGTGCCCAACTGATCCCGTGCGGCGCACGACGTGTGCGGAGAACGACCCATCACCCCCCTCAGAAAAAAAATAAAAGGCCGGGGTCGAAACGGTGCGTTTGAGGCCCCCCGCCTATAAGCGAGATGAAAAAGAAATTTACAGGAGTACTGCCTCACCTTGCCCCTCCTCCCCTTCCTCATCCTCCATGTCTCCTCCTCCCTTCTCCTTTTCGTCTCCTCCTCCTCCTCCTCCTCGTCCTCCTCCTCCTGCCCTTCCTCATTCTCCTTGTCTCCTCCTCCTCCTCGTACTTCCTCATCTTCCATGCCTCCTCGTCTCCTTCCCTTCCTCGCCGTCCATGTCTTCTCCTCCCACTCGTCCTCCTCCTCCTGCCCTTCCTCTTTTCCCTCCGTCCATCTCTTCTCCTCCCCCATCTCGACTCCTCTTCGTCGTCCTCCTCATCCACATACTCCTCCTCTCCATAGCCCCCTCTCCTTGCCATATCCCCATCTTCCTGTCATATGCCCCCCCGTTCCCCCTCCCAAAAAAAAAAAAAAAAAAAAATACTAAAATAAAAAACCTGCACGATTCCTCACAGGCACCCCCCGCACGGAACTCCGAACGGAACTCCGCACGAATGTGCGGCTCGTGCGGTTGCAAGTATGCTATAAGTTTATTACTAGCTTTTTTTATTTTTTTTGCAATTTTAATATTTATTACTATAACTAATCTTTTTTTTTTTTTGAGTCCTTACAATATAATTAACTGTGCTTAGTTAACCTTGCACTGCTGATCCGTCTGTCATCGTGCTGCCATCGATTAGCTGCACACTGTTAGCGTCAGCTAGCCAAGTTTTTTTTTTTTTTTTTTTTTTCAGTCAGTTAGTCAAGTTATTCAGCTGTACTCGGGCGTATTGCAAAATTCCCCAAAAGCGCGCCCTCCTCCTCCCTCGCCGCCCGTGCGACCTTCACCAAACCCGAAAGAAAACCGTGATCCCATCGGAGTGCGAAATTGCATTGCTACCCTTGTCAGATTACCACTGGCCACACAACTACCCTCCATAAAATAAAAGGGGGACGCACACACCTGACCACCACATGAAATGTCCAGATACATTCTAATTGGGCTACCATCTTCGCTTGAAAATAATGCCCAAGCATTATATTCAACACCCTAGAAAAATCAGATTTTTGTTTTTTACTCTCATTTTTGTCGAATGTGCCGCCCCTTCAATATATAACGCCCAGGCACCATATTCAAATAGAATGTCCGGTCGTTATCTTTGAATGTGCAATCAGACTCATTTTCTTTCCACTTCGCACGCATGCAAACAGATGGAGATTCACGCTGGCACAGGGCGCCCACTCAAAGCTTAGAGATATGGAAATCAAGAACACAGTTCAGATGCAAGTTCTCTTCAACAGGCTATGGCGCATCAGCGCCTGAACATCCCCACCTTCGTCACTGTGTCCAACCCCACTGTTCACACGTGCTCAATCTGGATCACCCTGAATACCACCACACACATACACTATGTCTAACTTCCCCCTACAGCGGCTATGGCCGCACTACCACTACTGACTATGGCTACGATCTCCCTTCAGCCCACTTCGTCTTCGGGCAACCTGCAGACCACCTTCTCACAAGACGCTGTAGCAGTGCTTCCGCATGGCTTACACAACGAATGAATGAATGGCTGGGTGCTGCCTCTTGATTTATACTTCTTTAACCCGTTGGTCTGCCCCTTTCCCAGGCCCTTGGTGCACACAGTCCCACACGGTACTTGCTTGACTGGACTCTGACTGACTGGGACCGGTGCCGCTGACTGCATGGGTTTGCACTGCCAACTCGATGCAGTCGCACTGCCGACGTAACGCAGTTGGCTCACCACTTGCCCACTTGCCTCTGACTAAAGGCCCACCACTTGCCCACTTGCCWCTGACTRAACGTGAGACACTTCGAAAGGCCACTTCCGGACCTTCCGGAAGGCTGTGGGCTTGGCCTTTCGGGCACTGCAGCAGCTACGACCTTGRMCTTTCAGGACTCTAGCAGCTACGACCTTGACCTTTCATAGCATCTACAGCCACGACCTCTACARACGTGTGACTCCTAATCGACAGACCTACAGATCAAACCCCTACCGCTACACAGACCTACGACAGACGACAAACAACTACCAAAACACAGATCACGGGTTCAAACACTCGGGGGTCAACTCAATACTGTACATGGGCAAAATGAGGTCTGGGGATCGAACTCTAGGGCCTGCATCTGTGACTGCAGAAAGGTGAAAACCGTTTCACTCCCGCCATCCTAAATTCGAGGTCCTCCGAGAATATTTCAGTCTAAGGCAGGACCTTTACCCTTCTTCTGTCTTTCGTAAGCTCGGACTATATCGGGAGCTGTCTCTAGAAGTTCTGTTCGAGTGAACCAGCGGTCGTCTTCTGGCTCTTGATAGGCAAATCTGACTTTGTATTGCTTCTGGGGACGACCTCTACCTCCTGTCCTGAAGATATCCTCACCTACTATCCCTTCAATGTCATATCTTCCATCCATATCTGGAGGAATCATAGATCTGCGTGATGGGAACTGTTGACTTGTAACGCAAGGTAACCGCTTTGACGCATGGAACACTGGGTAGGTGTGGAGGTGTGTTGGGATCTCAACAGTAATGGACGGTCCATCCTCTCCGCCTTTCACTTCTAGGACCGGCCACGGTCCTCTATACGCAGGCAACAACTTTTGTGAGATGTTTTCCTCAGGGGCAAACTCTTTTGACTCGACCCAGACTAAGTCGCCTACTTGAAACTGTGAGGGGCGACGGTGCTTGTTAGCTTGTTCTATCATTCTGTGCTGGGCTTTCCTGAGGTTTTCAACAACGGTAGCTATCTTTTTCTCGTGCTGTATCACAAACTCTCGTGTACCGGGCGGTAGCCTCTGAATCTGGTCCCAGTTAAGTCCTTCAAATGGTCTGCGCGGTCTAAAGGACTTGTGCAATTCGTTGGGACTGCGACACGTAGATAAGTGCACGCTATTATTGTAGGCACTGGCTACCTTTGGAAGCATCTCATCCCAGTTGATCTGATCAGGCCTAATGTACATTCTAAGAACTTGCTGCAGGAGCTTGTTCATCTGTTTAGTCTGGCCGTTAGTCTCAGGATGACAACCAGATGACATCAGCAACTTTGGGCCATAAACTTTCATCAGCTCCTGCCAGTTCTCACCAGTGAATCTGGTATTCCTGTCACTAACTATCGACAGCGGTATACCATGCTCACTGACCCAATGGTCAAAAAACTTTTGAACTACTAAGTCTGTGCGTGCCTCTGCAGGCAAAGGAACAAAAACTGCATACTTGCTAAATCTATCTACTATGACCAGGGCTTGACTTTTGCCATACCTACTCTTGACCTGAGTATCCATAGAGTCGATGGACACAGAATCTCCGGGTCTGTCAGGAAAAGGCAAGGGTCTGAGAAGACTAAGAGGGGCTCGCATAGTAGTCTTGTTTCGCTGACAGACTTTACAACTGCGGACATACTCTATGTAGTCGGTCTTCATACCAGGCCAGATGTCGCACATGAGGTTGGCTTAGGGTCTTTTGCCAATCAAAGTGTCCCTCTGTATCATGGCATTCCCCTATGATCAAACTACGGATCTCTTCGCTGTTGGGAACGCACAGGCGGTCAACTACATTAGTCTTCTCGAATAATAAGCCATCAGTAGTGGGGTAGTTTGGCTCAGACTCTGGGGCCTCCCTAACTCTCTTGAGGAGATCACTATAGATAGGGTCCTGTGTATGTGCCTCTCTAACTTTCTACTGCAGGTCTCTCCCTATATCCAGATAGTGAACTATTGCCCCAAAGTAATCAGCTCTTCTACTCAGAGCGTCCGCTACTACATTGTACTTGCCTTTAACTGGCTTCAGTTCAAAGTCATACTGGTCTAACTCTGCGGCCCACCTAGTAAGCTTAGGTGTCATCTTGGCCTGAGTCTTCAGCCACCTTAGAGTCTCGTGGTCTGAATAGACTTTGAAGTGCCTCCCACGCAGGTAGTGCTTCCAATGATTTAGTGCTTGCCTGAGAGCGTAGAGTTCTCTCTCATAGGTTGATGTTGCCACCTTCTCTGAAGGCTGGCGGACATGAACTATACGGGCCTATATCCATTGTCATCGTCTTGCTGTAAAACCGCACCTATGCCATACTGATTCGCGTCAGTGGTAACAACGACAGGCAGGGACGGATCGGCTACCTTAAGGACTGGATATTCTATCAGGGCCCGCTTTAACCTTTTCAGGGCAGCTGTACAGTCCTTGTCCCACTTCCAGATTGCCTCTTTCTTTAGCAACCTGCGAAGGGGTGCAGCGATGGTGGAGAAGTTCCTTACGAACTTCCTATAGTTATTAGCTAGGACTAAGAACGACCGCAACTCTGTCAGTGTGTGGGGCGTTGGCCAGTCTCTAATTGCTGCAATCTTACTATCTTCAGGCCTAACGTTGTCTCCGTCTAAGACGTGGCCCAGGTACAAAACCTGTGTCTTGGCCCATTCACACTGCTTTGCGTTGATCATGAAGTTAGCTTCTCTAAGTTTCTCCAAGACCTGCCTCAGATGGCCCTCATGCTCCTGGAGGGTCTTACTGAACACTAGAATATCATCTAGATACACTACAACGAATCTATCTAACCACAGCCTAAACAAATTGTTCATGCAGCGCGGGAAACTCGCTGGCGCATTGGTTAGTCCAAAGGGCATAACTCATAGTGCCCATATCTAGTCCGGAATGTTGTCTTGTACTGATCATCAGGATGAACCTCTATCTGATGATAGTCGGACTTTAAATCTATCTTCGAAAAATACTTGCAGCCCTGCACCCGGTCTAACAAATCGTCTACACCGGGAAGTGGTTCTGCATTCTTCACTGTGATAGCATTAAGACCCCTATAGTCTATACACATTCTAAGCTCTCCCTCTTTCTTGGGGACAAAGAGAACAGGTGCTCCAAATGGGGACAAACTGGGCCGAATCCAACCCTTCTCAAGGAGCTCGTCTAACTGCTTATGTAGCTCCTCTAACTCCCTTGGGGACATTCTGTAAATCGCTCCCTTAGGAGTCCTACTGCCAAGCTCTATCTTTATGCGATGCTGGATCGGCCGCGACACTACTCCTACAGGTGGCTTAACTAGGTCTGTATATTTTTCCAACAGCTTGGCAATAACAGGGTCTATGGGTGTCTCATCCTTAGGCTCAGTGACTGGCCTCACGTAGGCTACAAAAACCTGCTCTTCTAACTGCTCCTTTACTAATCGCACGAACGCGGGAGCACCGAGGCAGCAATGTGCCAGGGTGTTGTCTACTCCAGACACATGGAACAGGCGAGCAGTCTCAACTTCACTTGTGGGACTAGGGAGCCTACACTCGTGCTCTCTCAATTGGAGTGTGGCCCCTGCTGCCTCTCCCCTGTCCATTCCTAGGACTATATCGAAGGGAAGGCTATCTTCTACGCGTCAGGGAATGGAGAACTTTCTCCACCTTCCCAATTTCTCTAGGCCAAAGTACGCCTGGACTCCCTCGACGTAATCCTCGACTCA